TACGTCTTTGCTCGTTCACAGGTGAACCCGCCCACAGAAGCGTAGAGAATGAGATCTATAAAAATACTATTTGAAAGAATGAAGATCTTTTCAACTTAATCTAAAAGAGAGAAATAAAAAAATCAGTTTGAATATATACAATCTGTAAAATAAAGTTTGAACAAAAATTTAATAATCATAATTAGAAAAAAGGTTACTCTCACAACCTTTTTTGATTAAGAAGTTTCATTTCTGGATTTTATTTTTTTTCTAATTTCCCTTTTTAAAATGTGTTCTTTGAAATAAAAAAAGGAAGTGATATTTCTAAAATCCCTTCCTAAACTCCTGCCTTTATGAACTTGTTCCTGTTGGGCATACGAAGCAGTTTTCTGGGGTTTGATGATCACGATGCTCTGAGAGAACAACTTAAAGAGGCTGAGCTCTGATGCCGATCTATATTTAGAGGTATCATCAGTGCTGTCATCTAAAAAAGTCTCACCCAGTTGGCAGGAGAGGAGGGAAAAACAACTTCCCTCTGATGCTTGTTAGTTTTCCAAACTGCCATGCAGAGACACTCAGTGCCACACCGTTAGTCCAGCTGCTGTTCAGCTTCGGGCCAAAAAGCCGAACAGACAGATTTGTTCAAACCACCCCGCATTACCCAAAGCAACGCAGCTTCGTCCTCAGCCTCCTCATCTTCACGTCCTTCTGAAGCGAGGGAGCTAGCGAGATGCTGCTGAGGTGGATCAAACCCACCCAGCACCAGCTGGTAGGCGTCCCGTCCGTCTGACCCACCCTCAGCACTCAAATCCACTCTGGCTCTTTTATCAGGCTGGTGGAGTAAAGGACACTTTATTATTTCCTTACTGAGTTCTCTCAATCAGCCTCTGGGCTGATTTCCATAGTTCGCTCCCAGTGTAGTATGGAACGCTTCAGCAAAACATTTCCGCCTTTTATTAAATGTTATCCTTTAGGACGATTACTGCTGTTTCACAAATGTACTGGGTCAACTTGAAGAGAGATTAAAAACACTGGAAAAAAATCCTAATCTAGATAAGTCATTTTTTCCTAAAATAAGTGCATTTGTTCTTGAATTGAGGAAGTAAAAGAGACATTTTGCCAATGGTACAAGACAATTTAGATTTAAAATAAGAAAAAAACAATTGCATTGTCTTATTTCAAGTGCATATTATCGAAATATCTTATTTTAAGAGTAAAATACTCATCCCATTGGCAAACTATCTAATTTACGTATTCAAATCAAGGGTAAAAACACTGATTTTAAGAAATGTTTACTTATTTCTAGGCATTTTTCCTGTGAACTATATATTTCTCAGAGAGGCTACACTGGAAAAATGATCTAGAATCAAGTAAAAATTTCTTAAATTAAGTGTATTTACCTATATTTTGAGTAGGTGAATGAGAAAGTTTGCAAATGGAATGAGTATTTTTACTCTTAAAATAAGATAATTAGATATCATCTGTTGAAATAAGACAATGCAATTGTGTTTCCTTATCTTAAATGTAAATTGTCTCGTTCCATGGGAAAAATTGTCTTTTACCTCCTCAATCCAAGCATAAATCCACCTATTTTAAGAAAAAAATGACTTATCCCAGATTTAGATTTTTTCCAGAGTATAAAAGGTTTTAATTTCAAGCTTTTGCAGGTAAAATATGTGATAAAGGAACCGTTTAAGAAAAAAATAAATAAATAGATTTATGAGCTTAAATTCGTCCGTATTAAAATGGTAAATTTAGAGGAGATCATTTCCTAAAAAATTATTCTGTGCATCGTTCACTGAGCCGCCTCACCTCTGCTGGTGACGGGGGGTGAGGCACCAGGAGTTCCTCTGGGTTCTGCACGGTCCGCTCTCCTTGAAGCCGCTCCCGCAGGCGGGACACCTCCTGCCGCAGGGCTCCCACCTCCTGCGCCTGCGTCTGGGCGCCGGCCTCCAGCTCCACCTTCTGCCCGATCAGAGCCTTCCCCTGAGCCTCCACCACCGAGATCTTATGGCGCAGGTCATGGTTGATTTTCATGAGGCGGGACTGCTGCTGCTGGAGCTGCACAACGAGAAAAAAAAAAAAAAAGGGGGAAAAGTGAGTGGCAGGTCCTTCACAGAGTTCTTCTGCTAGAAGTTGGACAAAAAAATTTCAAGCCAAAGGGACAATGGGACACTTTCCTGATGTCATATTGAATCCATTTGTCCTACAACCCATAAAAAGAGATCTATCTATCCATCTATTCTGTCGCTTGAATTTCCCCATCGTTCATACACCAGGACTATGATCCAGGACTTTAAAAGCCACACCATCTTCCTCAGTCCCGTCTTTACGTATATTAAATACAATAAAATCATAGCTGTCCTAGAAAAAACGTCTTTCTGAAGGCAGTATATGTTGCTCTACAACAGGGGTAACCAATTAAAAATCAGCGGGGTCCAAATAAAGAAAATCAACAAACAGTAAAGGTCCGGAGACATTTCTTTATTATAATCTTTAGAAAGAAGTTACTTTAAACAGAATTTAACACTGAAATAAAAGGTTCTTATGCATTGAATTTTTAAATACAAATATAAAAAATAGAATGTTTTTCCATTTTAAAATCTAAATTCTTCTTGAAGTAGAGAACCACGATTGTTCAGTTTGGTATACAGACAATTTCCTGATTCACATATTTTCTAAAACACCTGAACTGAACGTTTTTTTTATGGCTTAATGAGAGCAGTGGGCTTTAGGCTGCCCTGCAAACTGGAAAAATGATCTAGAAATAAGTAAACATTTCTTAAATGAGGTGTATTTACCCTTACTTTGAGTAGGTAAATGAGGTAGTTTGCCAATGGAATGAGTATTTTTACTCTTAAAATAAGTAACATGCACTTGAAATGAGACAATGTAATTGTGTTTTCTTATTCCAAGTGTAAATTGTCTTGTTCCATTAGCAATGTGTCCCTTTTACCTCCTCAATCCAAGAACAAATGTGCTTATTGTAAGAAAAAATGACACCTAGATTTAGATTTTTCCCCGTGTTAAACCTGGGTTTGAATGGAGACAAAGCCATTCTAAAGCACATATCAAGGAGCTCATTTTGAGCCTGGATCAATATCTATTTCTGATTATGTTCATGGTGGAGAATCCTGCTTCACAGCAGATTAAAAGCATCTGGGAAACTTCGTTGGTGCAGACTGAGCATTTGCATAATCTAACAAAAGTTAAGGCAGATTTATACTCAAGAATTAGGTCGTCTGCATGTGCGTCGCAATTAACGCAGATATGGCCCCACCCCTTCCACAGACAGTCTGCTGCACCTTTCTGAAACTGTAGGTGACCGCAGACAGGAGGCCTCTGATTGGTCAAATCTACATCCACTCTACTCTACGTGTATTTCCTGTTTGGTACCTTACCAACTTGTTTGGTTTGTGTGACCGCCATTGTGGAAAATGACTCGTGAAGATGGACCCGCTAGAAGAGCGAGGTACGTGAGAACGCAGGGACCCTTTTTCCACACTCTATTTCGCACTCATGTCCCTCCGTTGTCGCACAAACTTGCCCCCACTTCATCCCCGCCTCAGCGCCATATCTAGACCCACAGCTACTTTCTGATTGTCCGTCTTGCGTTTTGGCGTGGAGTAATATAACGCAGACCACACTTCAAAATTGGGCATAAATCAAAAATGTCTGCGACAAGCTCACTGCGACACACTGCTGCGGGAGGATAACCAGCCCTTTAGTCATGCCATGGTACATATGTGTTGTTAGAAGGTGCATGAAAGCTGCAACAGACAATCTACAGCATTTGTTGTTTTTTATTTCAGAACAAACCAGCTGGAGCCAGTTATGAATGACTTGGTTGATGTCAGAAAGCTATTGCACATGTAAGTGTCGCTAAAAGCAT